TGAGAAATAAATTTTTGTTGTTTAGTCTACCCAGTCTGTGGTACCTTGTTATGGAAACCCAAGCTGACTTAAGACAATTAGTACAGCCACTCAAGATCTCTTCCAATTTCTGCTTTCACAATATATTTTTTCCCTCTACTTTTAATGAATCTTTTTTACTTTCACTTTTAATCTAATATGTATGTCTTTTGGGCAGCATGTAGTTGAATTGTGTATTCTTTTTTATCCATTCTGCAAATCTTTGCCATTTTATGTTATTGTTTAATATTTTCATTTAATGTAATTACTGTTAGGGTAGGATTTATGTTTGCTATTTTTCTACTTGTTTTATATGTATCTTATGTCTCTTTTTAGTTTCTGTATTTCCTCCATTATGGCATTATTTCATGTTGAAAAGATATTTGATAGTGCACCATTTTCCTTCCATTGCTTCTTGCGTTATTTTCCCAGTGGTTGCCCTGAGGATTACAATTAACATCTTAAATTTGCATAATCTATTATAGTTCAGGTTGATATCAACTTAATTTCAAAAGTACATTAAAATATTACACCTATATAGCAGTTTCCTCTTCCTTTGTGTTATTGTCATACAAGCTGTATCTTTAGATTTTATATACCCATAAACAGATTTATAATTACTGCTTAATTAATTTGTTTGCTTGTTTATACAACCACATTTTAAATATGAGAATTAAAAGTAACAAAATACATTTATTCTGTCTTTTATATTTATCTATGTAATTTGCTTTACCAATACTCTATTTCTCCTTCTGGATTTGAGTGACTAATTCTCTATCATTCAAACTGAATGACTTCAGTATTTCTTATAGGACAGATTAGTAAGTGACCAATTCCCCGAGTTTTTATCTAGAAATGACTTAGTTTCATCTTCATTTTGGAAGGATAGTTTTGCTGGAAACACAATTCTTGATTGGCATAATTTTTTCTTTAGAACATTGGCTGTCATCCCACCGCCTTCTTGCCTCCACAATTGCGGATGAGAAATCAGGTTCATCTTATTGAGAACCCCATTGTACATGATGAATCACTCCTCTCTTGATCCTAACAAAATTCTCTGTCTTTTGGTAGTTATCAGGTGTGGCTCTCTCTTCATACTTTAGCTTCTTAAATGTAGAGATTAATGGTTTCCATCAAATGTGGAAAGTTTTCAGCTACTGTTTCTTGAAATATTCTCTCTGCCCCTTCTTTCTCTCTTCTTCTGAGACTCCTTTTTTGCTTATATTGGTATGCTTGGTGGTGTCACACAGGTCTCTGAGGTTCTGTTCATTTTTCTGAATTCTGTTTTTCCCTGTTCTTCATACTAAACCATCTCAATTGACTTATTTTTAAGTTCTCTGATTCTTTCCTTTGTCACCTCAAATCTGCTGTTTTCAACTGCAAAATTTTGATTTGCTACTTCTTAGTAATTCCTGTCTACTTATTGGAATTTTCTATTTGGTGAGACATCATTTTCATATTTAACTTTAGTTCACTAGACAGTTTCCTTTAGTTATTTGAACATATTTTAAATAGCTTATTTAAA